GTGACATGACCAGGGTACGGTAGTCAATGTGGCGATAGGGTTCCTCAACGAGTGTGGATTTGGGAGTATAGTTCTTGCGAGCAAAAGCATCACAGATTTCTCGTTTGAAGCGCAGGTAGTTTTTGCGTACCGTGGCCGGGTCAGCAACTTTGGTGACACTTGGGAGTTTTCCTTGGACCCACGCTTGCAGATCTTCAGCACTGCCTATCGCCAGGCTGACGAGTCTCGGGTGGAAGGAGTTGCCAACAAAGGAGCGCATGGTATGCGGCGTAAGCAGATGTTTGAGATGCACAATGCTTTCAAAATTCCGACTCAACCCTGAGACTTGCAAGACTTCTTGATCCGTCAAAAGCCGAAAGGGCAAATGAATACTGCTGTTGTGAAAAAGCGGGAGGGCATCGCGTAGGGCAGCATCTTTCTCAGAATTAGGTGCTCCTGTGGCAAAACACTTGAGAAGATACCTCCATGCCGTACGATAGATCGGTGGAATGATTGAGTTCCACTGGAAATTAGGTATTCCATTGTCCGAGGAGAGATTTGCTATCATTGCAAAGCCTTCTTTAGTGTGCCAGTGGGAGATGCGCCATAATAACGCCGACGGATGATAACTAGACCAACTGTATCGCAATGCGAGGTCACTGAGGACTGCTATTGGTCTCATGAAAGGTTGTAAGGGGACTTCCCTTAGCGTACCGAACAAGGGGGCTCCAATCTTGGGTCCACTCTAAATCAGCTATCGGGATGACTTGCGTATCAGGACCCTCATGCGAGGTGTTGTTTTGAAAAAAGATGCGGAGCCTTTTAGCAGGAGAAATAAGAGAGGTACACCATGTGAGATTTGCCTTTGGCACGTGTCGAAGTCCTAGACACGCACGAATGAAGCAAAAATGCTCATTGCGCATGGAGCCAGCGTTTTCAACCAAAAAACGAACGCGGTCTCCTGGAATAACAGTGGCAAGCAGGTGTATGGCTAGGTGCATGGTGAAGAATAGGACGCTGGCTCGCCCGCATATCCCAAGGTGACCTTGATCCTCTCCTGCAAATGTGAGATCAGTGCACGGGCTGCCGCCAATAAAAAAGAAGTGGCAATCCGCCCCTAGCGCAACGAATTCTCGAAGGAGCCGAGCATTGTCAACAAACAAGGTGTCTACATCTTTGGCATAGTAAAAGGCTCCACCCCCTTTAAGACTGTGCTGCCATCGTTGATCGACAGTGATTCCGTGCTTTTCGCCAACTAAGTACCTCAAGGTTTCATCTTTTTCACATAGAATACATACTTTTGGCCTATATCCGAATTTGGCTTCAATGATATCAACCGAGGATCCACATCCGTCAAACATACTTAGGATGGCATACGGACCTTTTTGTGTGACGCTAGAGGAAGCGTTCTTGGGAAGAGATTTGGATTGCGAATCTACACTCCCATTATTTTGTGGATCGACAGTATAAGGACCTGGGCGACTAGTGGTGGAAGGATGCGACTGAGATGATCTAACAACCAAAGAGGGACAGTGACTTGGGTCACCGCCACCATTCGGAGCAGTGAGGACTGCTTGAGGCGCCTCACTGAATTGCGAGATTTCATCTTCAATAATCTGTATCGTTTCTGCTGGAACAGTAGTAGCATCATCAGGAGGGGGCCCATACGTTTCAAGAAACGCAATGTTCAGCACTGTATTAACGACAGGTGCCTGAGTAGTTTGGTGAGTGGCCGGTAGAGAGTCTTGTTTCTTGGAAGTGCCTTTCCTCCTGGGGTTCAGAGGGTTTTTAACTGTTCCACTGGTCTTGGACCTCTTACCGCACTGCCTTTGCCATCCCGCCCTCATTGCGCTATATTGCTAGCAGAGCCTTTCTGGACTGTACTGTACTCCGGAGACTGGTCAAGCTCCTAGCCTAAAGTGCACTTCTCTCACTCTGCAGATGTCCTCGCTTGGACAGTACTGAGCATTCAGGTGCAAATTTTTCGTAACCATAAAAGCTGAGTTCAAGAGTAACCTCGCGGCGGCTTTGGCCACCGCCCAGTTGACATCATCCTCAGTCGCTCATGATCCTAGTTAGCGGTTACGTGCCTGGGTGAGAGCCTTAGCTCCTGTCCATGGTAGGCGAGCAGTAAGCCCATGTGCCTAACCTACAATTGTGTCACTACGCACATGTGGGGCCCAATATGCAGCCCACTCCCTATGCAGGCTCAGGGAGTAACTTCCCTTTACTGTCCGGGCTTCTAGGCTCAAGCTGAATTTTTTGGTAGCAATGGTTGCCCTCTGCGATGCTTGCAGATGCTATGTCGTTGTGCAGTTCTCAAGGGAGCGAGGAAAGGTCCCTGGTATTACAACTCATGTTGACCACCTTTGCTCGAGAGGAAATCCAGCTTGCAATCGACTTGCAAGAATATGACAGATTTCATGAGTTTGAAATGCAGTGCTGCAGCAGCTCCCCTATCTGGGGGACAGCAGCACCTTTGGCTGCGAGCTGCAATTCGTTAATAAGGACACCTGCCAAGTTTTGGCTGACCCCATTTGGAACACTCTGCGGGACAATCATTGCTTCAACGTGGTTGCCAAACAGTGTTTTGTGGATGCATTACACAAAGGACACCTCACGGGCGAAGCCAAAGCCATTCGAGTTCCATCCGGTACTACTGATAGGATACTGCCTCAAGCCTTTTCTTTCCACATGGAAGTCCGACATGTTCAGGTTGAAGCAGGAATCCGCATTGTGGGTGAAGCTGCTTGGAGAAGCTGTCAGCGACTGCAGGTGGTTCACTTGCCAGACACAGTCGTCTGCCTGCAGCATGGAGCGTTTCGTAGATGCTACCAGCTTCCTGCTGTAATGGCCCCTGGGTGCAGGCAATTCGGCATCAAGGTCTTTGAGGCATGTTGCTCTCTAACGCAAATGGGGGCAACTAATCACACTAGTTGCCAGTTAGCCCCGCAAGCACAACTCCGGCTTCGGGCCTTTGAGAAATGTACAGCCTTGCGCCACCTCAACCTGGAAAGGACAGAGAATGACCCCACTAACCCAAACCGATGCTTGCCTGAATGCTGTTTCTTGGAAGCAGGCATCGTCTCGATCTCTCGCTGCCGCCAGATTTTAATTGGGTTGGGCCAGCAGCCTGTGAACGTTGTCAACAGCTTCAGATCGTTGACCTGTCCCAGACGGACATTCCTGAGATACTGGGCTCTACCTTTGCGCACTGCCCGCAATTACAACAGCTCAGACTCTCTCGAAACTTGCGAAGAATAGAGCAAGAAGCATTCCTACGGTGTGCCTCACTCCGCGAGGTCTGCATTCCACCATCCCTGCTATACATAGCGAGGCGTGCCTTTGCTGGTTGCGCGCAGCTTTAGCACATTCTGCAAAACTGGGAAAAGCACGACTTGGAGGGGGACGTACGCCCGTGTCAATGCTTTTGACAAGACAAGTGGAGAGAAGACCTCACAGAAGCAGTGCGCTAGGGATAACTCTTGCTTAGCCACACTGGGTCTGCGCTACGAGTTCTTCTCCTGCTTTTCGATGACCAAACAGAGTCATTACTGCGTCCTCATCACCTGCAATTTTGTGAGCCCACCAGGATGAGAGCCTTAGCTCCTCGTCCCTGGTTGGCGGGTGGTAGCAGAGTGGTTGATGGAAGGCGCCCAGGGAGAACCTTAGTTGCTCATCTGCGGCAGCCAAACCATAGCCAATCTTGTGCAAAGATGGCATAAGTACCATGCTAGGGTAGGTCTTCTGTCTCAACTGTTTCACATGGGCCATGCATGTAGTAAGAGAGTGTCTTTCATGCACGTTATCTGATGACCAATACCCCCTTGGCACGCGAGAAGGAGCCAGGCAGTCTTGTCGTTGCGATGCCTCCTACTGCCACACTCACGATTAGCCTCTGCACTTCGGATGCGCAATCGGTTGTATAGGTTGTGTTACGAAGAGGGAATTTTCCACGGCTTGCCATGCCTTGCAACTTCTGACTCCTTGGCCGGAGTCTGTGTGCTGATGACCTTTTCTTGGCACTACGTAGATAGTCGAAAACTCCGAGTGCCACGCACCAAAGTGGCTAGGGCGATTTCCCCCTTGCCAACAGCCACATTTGATTGGCCCTCCCAAGCAAACATCCATGATCAAATGCATTTTGCCTTTCGTAGCGAATTCAGGCCCCTAGGAATTTTGCAGAATCTATTTTCACCCGTCTCACCTCCGTACAGAGGAAACACTACCTTTTTTGATGGGTTGCTGGCGGTGGTTCCGTTTTGGGTTCTGGGTTGTCTTTTGGGGTTGCTTTTTGGGGTTTCGGTTGTGGTCTTGTTTGTGTCCTTTTCCAATCATTATGTAGTGTTTCCTACCCTTCTACGATGACCTGGGCACACCGCCCACATGGCGTCCGCACTCGTGGGAAAAAAACTGCGGACACCCGGCTTCCAGAGACCAGCTGACTGATCAGGAACAATGTGAGCGGCCAAGCGGATCACGACGCGTGCGAAAATCTTGTCCATTGACGGCCCCAAAACCAAGCGCCAAAAATGCAGTGGATTCCAGGGTCGCCAAAGTGGGCCTCCCCAGTACTGTAATATGCCAAGTCATATATGATTCACATTTGCTTCATATGCCAGTCGACCTGGATCCGATCCGATCTTTGTCGCTTTCTCGAGTCCTTTCAAAAAAGTGTGTTTGGGTAGTCAAAAGAGGTCAAATAGAGACAAATCCGAAGAGATCTGTTGGACTTTTGAGTTTCTTTGGACATTCGTCTTGGGAAGAATACCACAGCACGGACTAATCAAAAGCCGAGGCGTCGCGGAAAGCCGGACCCCTACCGCCTCCAATCACGCAAGGCTGGTCATTCTACAAGAATGAGTCACTGTATTCAGCACTTAAACCAAGAAGAACTGGCAATTCAAAGTGTCAGTTGCAATTGGCTGGAGTGTTGGTTAGCATGGGTGGAAACTCACCATGGTCTCCAGAGTCCAAGTGGTCTCCAGTCCACGGGGGTTAGGTTTCCACGGCAGGTCGACATGGAACACTGGCTGGCGGCGCGTAACACCGCGCAGCGCCTGGGCCAGTGTTCCAACCAGCTGCGGCTGCGGCTGCGGCAGGCCCTTTTTCGGCGTGTGCTTTGGAAGATTCTAGACTACTATTTGTTAGTTCCACAAGGGATACGCCAGGAGGTTGCAGAGAAGAATGCACAAACATGCCCAGAAAGTTGCAGAGATCAATAGTCGATTTTTTTGTATTTTTGTTTTTTTGATGTATTTTGTAGTCTTTTTTCGTACTTAAAAGTCGTACTTCTTGTATGTTTTAAAATGCAAAGTTTTCGTATTATTGTCGTTTTTTTTGTATGTTTGGAAAATACCAAAGAAGGGTCGTATTTTCCGTGTCTTTAAAGTACAAATGTTCAGCCTCGAGCTGCGAATGAAACGTGGTCAGGCTACCCGACAACCACGAGAGGCTGCTCCAAAAGACAAGGGGGGCCAGCTTCCCATCCCACCCATATCAATGCGTATCAAGTGGCAAATGTACGCGAATATTGCTTGCAGCTTTTCAATTCTGAAGGGATGTATTTTTGAAAAATACAAATGTCAAAGTATATGCTTCAACATACAACTGGTGAATTTGTGTTCCCCAGTCTTATTTTTTGTATTTTATATATTTTCTAATATTTTATGGCTTATAGTACCTGGAACCGGGAACCAATAATCTCGTTTTTCTTGCCAGCCACACACAAAATGCCACCACCTGCTTGCTTGCGTTCATTACCCTTCCACTCAGCCACTACTGCCGAGATTGGGTCCGCTGCCATCCCTCAAGGCAGCGCGCTACAAAAAGCCTACAAACCAAAAAGGCTCACATGTAATAGGGTTGTCAGTGAGCTGGCCCCAACTTTCAAGTAGTTGAACCCCAAATGTGCCTGACCCAGTCCAACTTTCGGCCAAGCCTTCCAACCGCTAGCCGCTGTAGGCTGGTGGACATCAAGTACCTGCTCAGTGGTGGGCAGAGCACATAAGACACACTTATAGAAACGCGTACTGACTCGAATGCCACTCGTCACATGGCGACCTGGGTAACCAAGTGCCTAAGGCGTCAGGTAAGCGACAAAACTGAATTATACCAGCGTAGACCCCAAAAAGAGCAATGTTCAAAAATGAGATCTCCGAACAATATGGCCAGCAGTATTTCCTAGAGGAAGAAAACTGTAGTCCACCATGTAGACGCACATACAAGATTCAAAGGGAAAGCATTAAAATTTTGTTTTTCATTGACTTTACAATGGGACGCCGCACAAGGGCTAAAACATGAAATTTATGGATCCTGGTTGTGACATATGTTGCCCCCCTTGTAAACACGAATGCGCAGACCCAATCAAAATTAAGATTTCCTCAGAGCACGGACACTGCGCTTGGCTTTTTCCTTCCTACGCAGTTGCCTTCTTTGGCTTGGCTTACTGGGAGCCAAGTCGAGACATGTGGGAGACAAGTGTGAAATCATGCGGCCAGAGCACTCAGAGCATCCAGAGCTTACTGGGAGACAAATGGGAGACAAATGGAAGACAAGTATGAAATCATGCGGCCAGAGCACTGAGAGCACCCAGAGCTTACTGGGAGACAAGTGGGAGACAAATGGGAGACAAGCGTGAAATCATGCGGCCAGAGCACTGAGAGCATCCAGAGCTTGCTGGGAGACAACTGGGAGACAAGTGGGAGACAAATGGGAGACAAGTATAAAATCATGCGGCCAGAGCACTGAGAGCATCCAGAGCTTACTGGGAGACGAGTGGGAGACAAACAAGGGTGAAATCATGCGGCCAGAGCACTGAGAGCATCCAGAGCTTACTGGGAGACAAGTGGGAGACAAGTGGGAGACAAATGGGAGACAAGTATAAAATCATGCGGCCAGAGCACTGAGAGCATCCAGAGCTTACTCAAAGACAAGTGAAAAAAACGGGAGACAAGTATAAAAATCAAGCTTACTGGGAGACAAGTGGGAAACAAATGGGACACAAGTATAAAATCACGCGGCCAGAGCTCTCAGAGCACCCAGAGCTTGCTGGGAGACAAGTGGGAGACAAGTGTGAAATCATGCGGACAGAGCACTCAGAGCATCCAGAGCTTACTCGGAGACAAGTGGGAGACAAATGGGACACAAGTATGAAATCATGCGGCCAGAGCACTGAGAGCATCCAGAGCTTGCTGGGAGACAAGTGGGAGACACGTGTGAAATCATGCGTCCCATTGCTCAAGCAACTCAAGGACTTCTGTTGCAGGTTGCATCTGTATTTTTTATAGCCAAGCAGGTTGGTACTGTGATTGTTTGCAACTTGCTTGTACATTAGGCAGCCCAGGCTTCAAACCATATTTTCTCTCACCCCGCATATCCAGCATCCAACCTGTTGCAATGTGCCCAGGTTTGTCATTTGGTCCCACCATTTTGATTCGAGAGGACAACATGGCCCTGCTCGCCTACCATGACTTCAGGGTGCAAGGTGATCAAATGTTGTTCACCAGGTTGGCCTTGCTCACAACCATGTTGACATCCACCAAGGTGTCAGATGGGGTATCCAAGCTCATTGTCAAATCGGACTTCGACAAGATGACCAGATCCCTACACAAGCAAACTGTCCAGATGGAGGCAATTCTGAAGGAGGCCTGGAAGCAGGATGACACAGATGTTGGCCCACAAAAGAAGGCTATGGCCTTTGGGAAACTTTCAGTGAGAATGTGTCTGCTCCTCTTTGGCAAGCAGAAGTTTGGCAGGGACCCTTTGGTGGAGACCTTTGAAGAGATCACCCAGCTCTATGCTGAGGAACTTGTAGGCCAAAGGTTTCACGCCTTCGGACGCCAAAAGTCAACAGTGCGGCCTGCGTTGCAAGGGCTCACTCTGGAGGGCGTTTCCCTACAGCCTATAGCCACCCCCCCCAGCCGACGGAGGGCAATGGACGCACAAGGCTAGCAACGGTGGCTCCCGAACAGCATTGCCAGGGGGAGACACAGAAAGGCAAGCACAGGGCGACAATCTCACGCCTGGTGCGACCGAGTGGGTATGGCGTCATGCATGGCCCCTCTACTATGTGAAACAAGGTGAAACGTCGCTACCTAGAAGATTGTACACTATGTACCCATCCAGGACCGACACTAAGGTGCCGGCTTGGGAGCTGTCTACCTAGTGTGTCCTTTCTGTACACTACGCGTCGAAAGCATCAAAAGGGCTTGTCCAACAGGACCAGCACTAAGGTGCCAGCCTGTGGTTGATTAGCTGGCATCCGGCATCCGTTAATGCAGGTTTTTGCGCAGTTCATCATTGAAGATGGGTGTGAGTGAGGCTTGACTTTCTTCTCCATCTGGTATCAGGAGATTGAGCCATGTAGGCATGCAACATTTTTCGCACAGATCAAAGGTGTTGCATTCAACATATGGCCCTCGCCATGTTGACTTTTCTTCCAGCTTGATGAGCTGAGTGAGTTGTTTGCATTCGAGAAAAGCTCGGTGAGCAATGTATAGCAAGGCTGGCGGGGTGCGTACTTCTTGTAGCGTGGAACAGAGCATAAAAGCCTCTTTGCCAATGCGTCTAAGCTCTCGTGGGAGACGGATCTCGACCAGATTCGCGCAGTGCGCGAACGTGGAGCTACATGAGAGACTAAAGCTGTTCGATGGTCGCTCTCCGCTCAAGTGAATGCAGGGCTTTAGCTTCCAGCGCGTATTGGAGTTCGCGTCGGTCCTGTCCGATCTTTCCTCGCTTGCTACCTGTCCCTTTCACTGTTCTCCTAGCTGCCTCCCCTGGATAGCCCTTGGATTTGGTTTTCCTTGCAGTTCCGCCCCTTTTGGCACCAGGCATCTCAGGGGTTCCGATCCCCTTCCCCTCCTGATAGGCCGGCAGGTCTTGAGAGAAGGGCACGACTGGCAGCGTATTCAGAATAGTGGATGAGCCTCCCGATCACCAAGAGTGACATTGACTTGCTCATTGGTGCTCTGAACAGGCTAAGTACAGCTCTTGAGGGATCGGCAACATCGACCTCTTCGACTCCTACATCTCCTACAGTCTCCATTGCTGGTTGGGAGTTGGTTGAACCCATCTCTGAGCAGCCCTTCAAGGTCACACTTCAGTTCCGTCGTGTGTTTGAGGACGGCCCACAGCCTGTTCCAAGTGATTTGTTGACCCTTGCTGCAGGAAAGCTCTCGTCAGCCGCAGGAGATCCACAAGATAGGGTTGTTCGAGCTTGGCGTGCAGGTTTTTGGGCTTGGGCAGCAGTTAGCACTCATTCGCCCTACACCCGTGCAGAGGCCATCTCTTTGTCAGATACTCAGTGGATCATTGCAAATCATCCTCGCTCTACGGGGCCGATTAGAGTCAGAAAGCTTGGAGACCTTCGCCAGCTACTTGCCTCTATCCCTCCAGGTGCTGAGGAGCCGTGCTACCAAGGCTTTGCATCGTTGACTGAGGTACAGATCTTCTGCGCCTCGTACGGCATTGATACTCCTCCATTGTATCAATGCAGCGCTCAGAGGTGAGGTTTGCGACGGTGAGGGATGACTATTCACTGATTGTCATCACTCTTACTCCGCCTGTTGTGGAATCAGTGATTGAGCTTTTTGCCATTCCTCTCATCCCGCGCGATGGAGGCTTCCTCATTACGGTCCCCCACGGTGCTTTGGATGAGAGCTTGATCAGTGAGAGTGAGTCGCCTGACATGACTCCTAGTTGGCTTGGCATTGGCACCATTTTGAACGTGCCTATGATTGAAGAGGATGAGACAGGGGCTCCTGTCAGCTTGGGTATGAGTGGCCCGGTGATGGCCATTGATGTGACGGATGAGATCTTGTTCTAAAGCAGAGCCTATGACCCTGTTACGGACAGTGATCACGACATTTGCCCCTTCCACTCAGAGCACTCAGCATGTATTCCTGACTTGGAGGCGCTCCTGGGGAAGGTGAAGCAGTGGCTGCGTGAGAGAACGGATGAGGCTTCTGGTTTTTACTCGGCTCAAGAAGACCCGGGTGTGGCAGCCAAGAAGTCTGGAGCTCCTCCCAAGAAGGCTACTGCAGCGAAGAGGGTTTCGAATGCCGCTCTTTTGGACCAGATGAACGTGATGATGGCTCAGCTGCAAAGCCTGTCTGTTCGACAGGATGCTTTGGAGAAGAAGACAGACGTGGCCCCTGTATCTGCAGGCGCTGCCGTCGCTCCATCCGGTGGCAATGTCAACAGGCTGCCGGACTTACCAGAAGGCCTCGCTTCCGTGGGTGGCCCTCCTCTGGACGTGCCAAAGGCTTTGCAGTTGATTGGTCCTCCTCCTCGAACCCAGTTGGGAAAGGTGCAGACAAAGCAGGTTCTTGCTCCTCAGGCTCCAGAAGATCCCAATGCTGTTCTCCTGGGGTTAGATGCAGGCGATGGGAACCATGGCGCTATCGTGAATGCACTGAGTCAACAGTCGAATGCCCTCACAGCGCTGGTGGCTCACTTTGCGAATCAGTCGAGCGATTGTTTGACCGACCTCCAATCCGGCTTTTCGACCTCCTCTTCAATGAAGGGGGTACAGAGAAGAGAAGCTGCAGTCAGAGTTGGCCAGTCGGACAGGCAATTTCTTTTTGCTCCTCATGCAGCAGATCCACAAGAAGCTGACCCCGGGCGAACACTGCCAAGGTCGGTCGAGGAAGTTGGGTCGATCTCCATGCTGGAGTACCTATCGAAGTCCGGAGGTTACCGAAACCAGAAGACCTTGGGACTTATCCAATGGATTCTGGGCCATGCAGTGGATGCCGCTGCCCAAGACGATTTTGCGGGGGTGAAGGAGATTATTGCCCTCCTGGCTATGGCAATCGAGCAGGCGAATTACGACAATGGGGAGTGGTCAGTAGCCTACCTGATAAGCCTGCACGAGGAGCCTCCCATTCAGCTTTTTCAAGAGAGGGCAGCGGCTATTATGGCTACAGGACGACCCTTCAGTCCTCTTATTCCTCCAGTGTGGTCAGCAGCGACCCTGAGCTACATCAAGGATATGGAGGTGTTGGCAAACAAGAAACCCGAAGCCAAGAAAGGTCCTGTGCCAAAGGAAGGAACAAGTTCAGAAGGTGTGAACCAAGATTCCCCTCGCCGGAAGCCCAGGTTTCCCAAGCGCCCGAAGCAGGCGCAGGAGGGGGAGAAGTGAAACATGAGTTCAAGTGCATGAGGTGCAAGAGGACTCATAGGCCTCTTGCTCCGGAGAATTCCAGAATTTATTTTTGTGGAGGAAACTACTTGCCTGTCGATGAGCCCGCCCCCTACTCCGAAAATGGTGGCTTCAAACTTCGAAAGGGGAAATGCACCATAGAGGTGGCTTGGGCATTTGTGATCATTCTGGACATGGTTCTGGTCCTGGCAAAGATTCTCTCAATATGCATGAAAGAGCTGGTGTTCCTCCGACGTTATCTTTTTGGAAGTGGTGCTCTGGTTTGCTTCGAAATGTGTTGAGGACCAGGACGCCGTTTGCAGCATTTTTGAAAACTACTCTGCATCTGCCTCGGAGTTCTGTGACTTCGACTTCGCCGCTTTTCCCTTTGCCCATTCCGTCTCCTGGAGTGTTCCAAAGGATGCCGTCATCCATCTCTCTTCATCGCCGACGTCGCCTTCATCTGAAAAGGACCCTTCATGTTTTGGTGAACGAGGCATCCATCAAAGGCCCATCGGACCGTATACAGAAAGTTGATGAATGCTTTAGCGGCTGACGGCCCTGATTCCGGCACCTTTGAGGTGTTGGCCCGTGGTCGAAGATTTCCTCAATTAGTTGCACGACTGGGAGAAATATCTGACTATGTGACCAAGCTTGGAGCCGCAGGGCCCTATAGCCATTTTTACCATGGCCACGAAGTTCCCTTGAACAACAGTGTCCTTCCTCAGCTTCAGCCTTATATGCCGCTGGATGCAAACAGACTTAGCATCAAGGGTCATGGCTGTTTTGACGCTACTCCACATCTGGGTGATGAGCTGCTCATGGCCTACAGGATGCCAGATTTGCTTCTGTGTGATAGACAGCCCCAGTACGGAGACTTCCCCATCATGACAGATGATGCAACGCAGATTATTCAGCTGGCAAAAATGTGGGATGCAAGAGGCTTGCTCTTCCTGCGAAGAGGTCCAGTTGAGGCTGAGTCACTTACAAGGATGTTCAACAACTTCAAAAATGAGGAGTGTGACCGTCAAATCGGCGACCGTCGTGGAAGAAACTATCAGGAAGCAAAGGTGTATGGCCCCTCGAGGCATGTTCCCGCTGGATCTGACTTGACAGACCTCCACCTCGATGGGAGGAAGGAGGCCCTATACATCTACTGCACAGACAGAAGTGATTTTTATCATCAGTTCGCTGTCGCAGACGCCAAGGCTGCGGCCAATGCGGTTGGTCCTCCAGTGACTGCTGCTGATGTTGCTGATTTACACGCCTACAGTGAGATGCTTTCTAGAGAAGCCAACGAGAAGAAAGTGAAGCGCACACGGGAGGTCGAGGGCGATCAGCTCCACTTGCTGCATGAACCTTCTGATAAGAAGCGTGCTTCACTGTTGAGCGATGAAATCTTCATATGCTTCAAATCGTTGTTCCAGGGAGATCATGGAGGCGTTGAATTTGCTACAGCTTCTCATGAGAGTGTCTTGCAGTCTCAGGGCCTCCTGTCGAGTTCCACACGGCTGGTTGCAAACAGGCCTTTCAGAGGGGGGCCCTTAGCAGATGGCCTCGTGATTGATGACTATTTTGCCATTTCTCGAGAACCACGCCGTCTAGCTCCTGAGCAAAGTGCTGCAGCAAGATATTTCTCCCAGAGTCAGGCGGTCTACAAAAAGTACGACCTGATCGGCTCTCCACAAAAAGATGTCATTGGCGAAAAAAGGGCTAGAGTTATAGGAGCCGAGATCAACTCCAACGACCATGCTGCCCGTCGTGGAATCACTTCTGTTGGATCACCAATTGGGAAGCGCTTGAGTCTTAGCTGGGTGACCTTCCAGATTGCTCAACTACCGGCTACAACGGACTCTCTTCACCTGTGTCTTCTTGGTGGCTGGACTTCGATGATTTTGTATCGCAGGCCTTTCATGAGCCTCCTCACCGCAGTACACAAGCTTGTAGATGCTGCCAGTGTTGATGCGGATGCGCCCAAGACAGTTGCTCTTCCAAGATCTGTGGCAAATGAGTTATGCCTCATGAGCGTTTTGGCTCCCCTCATGGTGTCTGATATTGCTGCTGATTTTTCTGAGGAGATCTTTGCTACGGACCCCTCAAATACAAAAGGTGCCATTGTGTCGACTACCACACTGCCTTCCGTTGCACAAGAGCTTTGGCGGTGTTGCAGAACGAAGGGGGCATACTCGCGCCTCAAGACTGACTATGAGCTCCTGGTTGAACGACTTGGTATTGCTGAGGATGTTGGAGAGGATGTCAATGCCCCTCCTGCTGCTTTTTCAGGCCAGAGGCCTGCGAAACCTATAGCCTTCAAGTTTGACTTCATAGAAATTTATGCAGGGTCCGCAAGAGTCTCGAGTGCAGCTTCATCTATGGGCCTAGTCGTTGGGCCACCAGTCGATATAGCTTACAGCGGTGAGCTTGACCTGTCCTTGGTGAGAGTGATTAGCTGGCTTTCCTACATGGTCACCTCAGGACTCCTTGGTAGCTTGATGGTTGAGCCGGTGTGCACTACATTTTCAATCATTCGTCGGCCCCGGCTGAGATCTAGCTCTGTTCCTCTTGGGTTTGACCCTCGTGATCCCAAGACTCATCTTGGAAACGTGCTGGCGTTGAGGGCATTGACTCTCCTTTTCCTTGCCCACCGCTATGGTGTGCCTGCCTTAGGTGAACAGCCGTGGTCGTCTATGATGAGGTTTCTTCCAAGTTGGAGAGCTTTGGAGGAGAAGCCCGGAGTGAGAACGATGCGCTCTGATTCCTGCGCTTTTGGGTCAGTACATCTCAAGAGTTTTCGCTTCATTGCCGTGCACCTTGGCATAGATAGGCTAAACAGACGCTGCAGTGGAGACCACAGTCACATCCCTGTGGAGGGAAGGTACACAAAGGCATCAGCATCATACACCCACGAGCTTGCCCATGAGATTGCTGCCTGTTTTGCTGAAGCAGTCGCTGCCAGGAAGAATGTTTTCCAAGCTGAAGAATCTAGGCCAGTTGACGGCCTAGAAAATCAACTGGTGAATCTGGTAGCCACATCCTCTTCGTGGAAGGCCCGGTCAGCATGGTCTTTTCAGACGGAAAGGCGTATCAATGTTTTGGAGATGAAGAGTGTAGTCAGATTAGCTGAGCGTTTGATCGGCGTCCCGCGCCCTTTGAGAGTTGTCAACTTCGTCGACTCCTACGTGATCAGATGTGCTGCTTCTAAAGGAAGGTCTTCTAGCATTGCACTGTCACCCTTTTTGCGGAAGTTTGGAGCTCTTTCTGTTGCAGGAGGTTTGTACTTTACTCTACCTTTTGTGCCGACAAGGCACAGCACAACCCGGCAGACGATCCCACTCGGGATCATGACCTTCGGCAGAGTCTGGGGAACGTCGATTTCTCTGCGATGGACGAGCATGATATCAGATTCCTGCTACTTCAAAGGGCTTGAGACGTTGGGCATCAAATTGGTTGAGGTTGACACTTGGGTTGTTCGGATTCCATGGCTTGCCTTTTGGAAAGCCTGGCCAACGTTGTCATGGTCTGAAGTGGACTTCTGTGGCTGGCCTTCCTGAGTGGCCTCCTCATGACTCTCGGCTCAACTTTGGAATTTTGGATTTCGATTGCACTCTCGGCTTTCCTGGGGAAGGGCCTCCTTCCTCAGTTCTTAGCATTCTCCTTGGATTTGTCTCTCTCTTACTTCATGCCCCCTGTCCTCCTGTCATCTCCTTGTCTGTCCTCGTAGCCGGCCCGGTAGTTTGCCATGGCATGATAGCCCCGCGCACACCTGGAGACTGGGCTAGGCAGTCAGCGCGACGTTTGAAGCCACCGCTGCCTGTTGGACGTCCTGTTACTGAAGTGACAGCCGGGAATAGAGATCGCCTCTTGAGAGAACTTTTTGGATGGTGCGCCAGAGCAGGTTGGAACATACAATGTTTGCTGGATGAGCCCTTGAAAAATGTTGAAACCATCAACAAGGTGCTTCAGCTTTTTGGTCGGCGCTTGTATGAGGCTGGGAAGCCTTATGGAACATACGTTGAATCCATAAATAGCATTGTGTCGTTCCGCCCTGTTTTGAGAAGACAGCTTCAACCCGCATGGGATTTGGCTTTTGCATGGGTCCGCGAAGAAGGCCTGTGCATCGCATAGCAATGCCCTGGCAAATCCTTTTGGCGATGCTCAGCGTTGCACTCGCATGGGGTTGGGTTGAAGTGGCTGGCGTACTGTCGCTCGGATGGGGCGCTCTCTTGAGGACATCAGAAATGACTGGAGCTTTTCGGAAAGATTTACTTCTTCCGTCGGATACATTGGGTACAAACAGCTTTTTGTTGTTGTCCTTGCAAGAGCCCAAAACTCGTTTTGTTGCTGCGAGGCACCAGTATGCAAAGTGCGACATTGGTGATCTTGTGAGGGTTTGCGAGTTGGCGTTTAAGAACTTGCCTCCTTTGAGTCGTATATGGCCCTTTTCGGCACAGACCTTCAGGCTGCGGTTCAAAAATCTTCTCAGTGCGTTGGGGCTGCAAACCGGAGCTTGCCAGGCACAGAAGTGTCTGGATGTCGGGTCGCTTCGACCCGGCGGAGCAACTTGGCAGCTTCAGACCACTGAGAATGCAAGCTTTGTTCAACGCAGAGGCCGTTGGGTTAATGCCAAAGTAATGGAAATATACATACAAGAAGTTGGTTCGACGCAGTACCTCTTGCAACTTACTGAACATCAAAGAGCCATTGTTGTGACCTTCGCAAAAATGTTTCCATTGTTTCTTCAGAAAGCTGAAGTCTTGAGACGAGCAAATGTTCCTACAACATTGTGGTGGCCGGTGATGAGTTGAGACAAGCCATGAGGCTGAGCTGTTGGGAGATATGGGTCGAGGCCATAGGCCAATAGCTGTGACAACTGCAAGCAGCAGAGAAAAGAGAGAGCGCCTTACAGTTGAAGCTTTATATATATGATGTCCGTGCCAGCCAGATCAACAGTTCGTAGTCTTTTGCAGTTTTCACACGCAATAGGCCCGATGAAGTTGTAATCTGTATGCAGCTTCAACTGCCCAATCCCTGACCCGCAAAAGCTCCCCTCTGGTAGGTATCCCGCTACTGCTAAGTCATGTGCTCCTGTTCGGCCAAAGGTGAGTTGTAGAAGGGCAAGGCAACTCTCGAAGGCATATGGAGAAATCTGGGCTTGCGGGGCAAGCAGATTAGAGGCCCCCTCAGTGGTTCCTATGTGGGACAGAGAACAACATTCTGCAAAAGCTCAACGTCCGATTTGCTTGATATCTGTGAGAGCATAGCAACCAAGAAAAGCTCCCTCTTGGATGCTAACAACACTGCCGGAAAATCTGTAGTTGTCGGCAGCTTTGCTAGGCAGAGGCTCCTATGGTATGAATGCCTGTTTCAACCAATACATGTCTCAAGTCTGGGACATGCGCAAAGGCATTGGGCAGGACAAGTCCACCTTCGTCAGCCAAACGTGAATAGCCTTGGCTCTGTGCCGTAGCTGCCCTTTGTGCTCCACTCTGGTGAGGCAAGGCCGCACCACCAGAGTGTAGCAGCTGCATGTTTGTAGCTGTTCCCAGATGGGGTCTCTGAGGAGTGCTTGTGTGGTCGAGTTCACGAAGTCCAACTCACACCCGAAGGTGGTTGCATTACTTGTTGACAGACTTTGAAGCACCTCATTCTCGAATTCACATAGTTGGTCAAATTCTCGTAGTTCAATTGGCAGCCGGACCTCTTCCCCGGCTAAGGTAATTAGCGTAAGCTGACAAGTGGTTGACTGCTCATCCCTGGCCGGTGTGCTGACCTGCGAGGGACCTCCAACGTCCATAACGAAGTGACACTACTGCTACGGATGTGTCCTGACAGCTTGAGCCAAGGCGCTTCCGAGTACTGTCTCAAGTGGAGGTTGGTCTGTAAGGTTACAGTCTTGATATCTTACGTGCATACAAAATCACTCACTCTACAGCTTCGCAAGAGCTAGCATCTGATAGCGATAGAAACTGGCATCTGTGTCGATAGTGGAGACGGCAGCCAATGGTTGCTCTAGGGACAGTGACTAAGGTGACCGCCCTAGCTTGACCTGCTTTCCTCATTACGGGTCAGGTTTTTTAATGCTTGGAGGGACTGTCCAGTCATCCCCGTTGGGGGGGAGGTAATTGAGCCACCATGGCATTTCCAGTCGAAAGCACAATTCAAAGGCGTTACGCTCAGCATAGGGCCGTCTCCATGGGCCTCGATCCTCACGTTTTCGGCAGAGGTGTAACAGTTTGTTACAGTTGCCGAACGCTCTATGCGCTATATATTTCAACTTACGGGGAAGCGCAACACTCGAGAGAGCAACGCATCCTTTAAAAGCTTCTGCATGGATTTCGGTGGCCGGCAGGCATATGTCAGTTAGGCTCACACAGTGCGAAAAAGTATGCGTATTAAGGATTTGCAGCGTCGTAAGTGATATGTCGACTCTGACTAATTGCTTGCAATTCTCATAGGCTCTGTGCCCAACATAGCTTGCATCCGCCATTAAGGTTACTCTTTGGATCCCTGACGAGTGGAAGCACCCTTGCGGTATTCCTGATTCAGGGGGCGGCATGGGAGGTGCTGCTGGCCCTGTTTGGGTGTGTGATATGCCGAGGTGTGAGAGCCTAATGCAGCTCTCAAACACATGTGGCGCTAGCGTCGCTCCTTCCGCCAATAGGCTGTTATCTCCTTTGATGATGCCGACTTTCTCCAGGGCACAGCATTCTGAGAACGTCCGTACTCCAAAGTCGAGACAGCCTGGTGCTTCGACTATGACCAAGAAATAGCATCCTTGGAAAGTAGCGTATCGCATGGAGACCACCCGCAATATCGCCATGCTTCTCGTTCTATGGTGTGTAGCGTAGGCTCTACCCAAACGTGTCGTAGCCTGGGCACCGATGAAAAGGCCTTGGCTGGGACTACACCCGCTGCGTTGGTTGGAACCCTAATTGCTTTTGGGGCCATGGCTACCCTTCATTAAAAGTAACGAGATAAGGGCTCCTCCTCTGTGATCTCGATCAGCCTGCGGCCGCATCTACTTGGTAGGAAATGGGACTGTGGAATGGGACCCCTACGGCGGTGGTCTTATGTTCCTGGGGCATGGTTGCCATTTGCAAGAGATGGTCCGAAACTGTGTTCCCTACCTCAGCCATGCCAAGTACTCTCAGTACTGTCGTCCTCGAGCGAAGGATTTGCATGCTGGGGAGCACCACCATGGAGCACCACGTTAGGCGTATAAAGAACGATTTGTTCACGTATATGTTTATGTGCCCTGAACACATCTATTTCTCAGAGCTGAAGGTGAGATTTAGTTGGTGTACACCACATGTTCCAACTTGGCAGCAGGGAAGGACAATTCATGGTTTTATGTGTTTTCGTTTGGGTGGATCCATATAAGGCCGCCTACTCACCTGTCAAGCATATTCTTCAGACTCAAAAGCTTGATCAACCGATCCATTCGCAATAGAAAGGCGCTGCTGAGCCCAAAACCTGCCTTCAGCAGGACTGAGTCACCGCAAGCTTTCTCAAGCAGCTCAAAGAAAGTGTTATTTTTCAGCATTTGTTCAATGTAGCACTATGGCAAGACGAGTGGACAAAAAACACTAATTAGTCACATCTATAGTCACTATGCACGAAAGACAGCTTCACAACGAACATCATTCACAACAAACAGCTTCGCAGAGTGCAGATCCATCAGCCCTGCGGCCCTCCACCTCCGGTCACCAGACCTTCACCAAGCAGAGCCTTCCGGATGCCTTGGAGCTGGGATTTGTAGCCACTTGACAGATGTTTGGATGGGGCCCCGAAAGGGAGGATGGATGGGTTGCATCGGCTTGGATACAGGATGCAGACGGTTTGGATGGTTTGGCTTTCGGAAAAGCAAAGATCAGAGTATGACAGTATGACTGGTTAAAATGTTGGCTACTTGTTTTTGAGATATCACGTAGACATTGTCATAATCCATAGCTCAGCTTAGGTGGGTTTGAAGGATTTCACCCAAAGCTGACATTTCCTGCTTGAAGCTGCGAGAAAGATGCTTTCCCGCAGGATGATGCTTTACAAGCCCTTCCAGAGCTAAAAACCGCATTTGTTGAGTTTTTCACATAGAAAATCCATGTGACTTGTCAGTGTGGTAGTGATCTATTTAAGGTTTTCCAATACGTTCGGTGCTCCCGGTTTCATGGATTGCAAACACCCCCCTCAAACCCGCCCACCCCTGGCCCTGGCAAATATAAAACATCCAGGGCTTTGTTAGGACCTATGCCCCCCACTCAAAAATAAGCCTAGGATCAGCTCAACTAAGGAGCTTCACCAAAAGAACTGGAACACTGCCTGTAGCTGTTACAAAAACTGATTGCGCCCAGTATTGCATCATGCTGTAAAATCCATAAATAATTACTGATGTAAATATTGTGCAGGTCCATTCATTCAGAAACCTTGGAGTTAGCCAAAGCCTCGACCGGCATGTTCATCGAGGTTGAATTCAACAAACAGTTGCACATCCACTAATTTTAATCCTTAACCCTTTTTGGTCCAAACTTACACAAGAAGATCAGGCATGGAGTGGAGGCTTATTTGCCGGGGAGGTGTATATAGTTGTGGATGTGTCCGTACTTTAGTCCACAATTGGCCAGCAATTGTGCTCCTATTAGCCGTTGATTGTGCGACCCCCTTCTGTAGAACCTTGCCGTTCTTTTTTGCCATGTCGCGTTCCCGTCTGAGCATGGAGGGGGGTTCCGGGGATTGTTTGCGTTCCATGATATCTTCGGAAACTCTCAAACCATTTGAGAAGTCGCGATGGAGCTTTGGGATCAATGTGGAGTCTCTAGACGAGCCCGCTTTTTGAATTTATGGAGTGGAGACGTGTATTGAAAATTGGTCTATTGCGTTGGCATAGACCATATGGACCAGTGTTTATGTATTGAACACTGGGGAATTCAGAGACTTGGCATCTATGCCGGACAAATATGAGGCCCTGAAGCCACGGGTCAGCGACGGGATAGCCGAGCTCGTGCTGCAGGTGCCAACGTTCGCACAGCTGGGGATAGAAGGGGTCGGTTGAGTTGACAACCAAAAGCACCTGCCAATAACAAAGACTAGTTGTTTGGCCAGTGAATCCAGTGATTCTAGTGTCACGTCCAGGTTTTTTTTGTGGTTTTGTTCTTGTTACAGTGTATCCACCGGCATGACCAAGAGTTCTTTTTGGGGCCAGTAAATGTCAATCATGACTGAAGGTAATTAAGGTCGTTTGCCCCCAAGGCAGGCACGGCGGTCGATTGAACTGTATGTGTCTATGTGGGTATTTTGTCCAGTGTCCTAGTTTGACGCAAACCTCTATCTTTTGGTGTGCGTTCAATCAGTTCGACAGAAGCGTTTCCTTCAATAGTATGTATGTGGTTAAATTGCACGCAGTCCGAGTGCACCTTGCCAAGTTCTACATGTCTAAAATAGTGAGGGAGGTGGAAAAATGCATCAAAGAAGGCAACAATAGTATATCCTTTCCTGAACACTGTCCCAAATAGACAGGCCATAAATTTGCGCCAACAAGGGCGAAAGTTAAATGTCAAACCGCACCGTGCGTCCTTGCACTTGGTTTCGAGGACGCGTATTCGGCAGGACACGCATACGGCAGGACGCACGCTTGGGCAGGTATCATTTTTATACGTTTGATAGATTAGACTAGCTGAATTGCTGATTAACCTGGACGGTTTCTGCCAGACAAGAATTCTTTGGAATGCGATTCTTCTTGCTGTCCACCAGCCAGCTGATACATAATGAAGCCACATGAAACCAGTAATGAACAGCCCAGATGGCACAAACCTCGGCCCTAGTAACATATATCATCAAGAGTACCATCAAGGGTGTGTGCATGTGTGTGCTTAACCTTTTGGTACAAGAATGTTTGATGTCAATAGTCCATATTGGTTCTGTTGTCACTTTGGGTGAAACTGCTTGGGTCTCCACCTCTTCCTTGCTCCTCCCTCTTCCCCGCTTATTGGCTTGCGAAGTACGGATTCCATCTAGTTAAGGAAGAACGTCTTTGAAGTGCTTTACATGAACTTGATCCTTCAAGTTTAACATCTATGTACAAGGCTTATCCCCAACCAGGCATGGCGGATCATGGCGGCATGGCCACCAAGACAAGTGCGTCTGCACAAATCATCATCTGAGTTGCCTAGTTCTTGTCGTGCATATTTTGTGCGTGTAACCCGGAACTGAGTGACCATCCAGACAATCCGCCCAGTCCTGGCACCCAGGCGGCGGACAATCCCTTCACCGAGGAAGGCGTCACTCAGATGACGGACCGATGGGACCGCGGCGAATTTGCGCAGTCCCTGGGTTGGCAAAAACCTGCAGCTGATATTGGAGCAGTCGTCCCTACAAGTCCTGTAAGTGGTGTTTTTGGGGGGCAGAAGAGGTGGTTGGCCAAGAATGGTTTGGAGATCTAACTGTCCTCCATTTTTGTTTCCCGTGCTCATCACGGACATAAGCCGCAGGCCTTGATTCCACCCTCGTAAGGACATTTATTGAGGCAATACGTAGAGAAGCCAATGGTTTTTTATCCCATGTACCAACCCCAGGTGATTGTCACCTGTTCACTCTTCTTTTCACCTCTACTCCGACACCTCGAAGAATCCATTTCCAGGACCTCTTTCTGTGGGTACATGGTCATGATATGTCATAATTAATAGTACCTTGTTGCTCCAAAATTGAGCAGATGCAGCAGCAGTCCGGGACTGCAAATGAAATCTAAAAAGAAATGGACTTGACCATGGAGGCATCACTTTCGCTGTCTCTTACCGGTCATGGATGGAAGCTTTGTATTTGGACCTTCTCTACCCGCTAGCCTTTGTCTACGCAGCTTTTTGCGGACCTGATCTGGACAGGGTTTCAATTGGTTCAAAGTGTTTTCAAAAAAGGGTGTGCATGTGCCATGCTCCTTTGCCAGAGGAGAAGCCCTTTTGAGGCAGAACGATTGTGCTTACTACTTCGCGATGGTCAGCCCAACTGCCACCGTGTTCGCAGTTCTGTGAGATCGCAGGAGAAAAAGCAGGTTCCTAGTTTCTATTGGAAACCATGCAAACCCCGTTTGGCCCCGATCTTATTTTTGTTTGATTTCAAGTCCTGAAGTACTATAGTATCTAACCAAAACAGGTGGAATACCATGTCAACATCACAAAAAGCAGCTTTTCCAAGACAAAGCGACACCACAGAACTGTGGGATGTGTTTGTTGTATTTTTGCTGGAGAACTTGGGGAAGAAGCTTGTCACAGTGCCACAGCTCCACTGATCTCTGAGATCTCTCGGCGGTTTGAACCAATGTAGCCACACCGGTGCAGGAAGGCAGGTGGGTCCGGAGTCAAACGGGTCAAACACCCCGGAGGCATGTTCCTCAACTTCTTGAAAGGCTTCGGGTCTTTTTTTTGCGTTCGGCTTCCTTCGTGCCGTCCAAGCGCAGGACTACGAGGAGGCCCTGCAAGACATGATGGAGAATGGCGGCTTTGCGTCCCGCGGTACCACAGAGACCGACGTTCTCGGTGAACAAAAGCGTCCGTGTCGGCACGGTCCACCAGGTGCAGAGGTGAACAGGAGGGCAGACACGAGGGCAGGGCGACAGGTGCCAAGGCCGAATGAGATCGAATCGGTGGTGTATCTGACAAGAAGATGCACAATTGATCTGGGTAGAAAGAAGGATGGATGGATGGATGGATGGATGGAGGGAGGGAGGGAGGGAGGGAGGGAGGGATGCAGCTGTGATCCCATATTGGTTTTGTTATCGAAGTGTTCCACATTGCACACGCTCATAGATCCTCATATTTAGGGGTTTGGCATCTCGAATCCGGTTTTGAGGGACCATCCATCGGCCTGTGAACTCACGGAGCGTTTGGGTTAGATCTTTCTTTCTGGAAATCCTTTCTTCGATTCCTTTTTGAACTCACGCAGTGTTGAGGGACCATCCTTCCTTCCTGTGGAAATCCTTCCGTGGTCACAAGTCGAATCCTCACGGGTCGCAGCGGTTTTTTTGGTCGGGGTCACCGCGTTGGTGTCTTCGGTCACTGAGGAACCCTGCCGTGAGCCAGATTTGTGCGGGTCTCATCACCCTCTACGACGCGAAGGCCAGTTGTGGTGGTGTGTGGTCCTTTTTTGAATGGAACCGGTGCATGAACATCTGACAGCGCATTGAAGCGTGTGTTTATAGGGTCGGTATTATTGTATATCACCACACCTTCTGAAGTCTTTTAGGTATCCTATAACGTTTCCACCACGAAAAGGAACAAGTAGCCGAAGAAGCCTTGAATCCAGCTTGGAGAAATTGTCTCAACGCGAAGTGCACAATACTAATAATTCGTTGGTTGAAAAGGCTTCAAAGGATCACCAGAGGTGAGTTTTCCACCAGAGTACGTTGCCACTTGAAAGCAGGGCCGTGTTGGATTCGGGCCTGGGGGGCCCTGTCCTGGAGGCAACAATTGAATGTTGCTTGATTGGTTTATTGTTTAACCAATCAACATCAAAGCCTGCTGTGCACGTGTAGATCAATAGAGCCGCTTTCGCAGACTGCACATGAGAACCTTTTTACCTGGATGCTGGATGCTGGTCGGTTATGTAAATGAGATCTCCTTACCGAATGCACTTCCTACAAGCACAGTTCGGAATATCTGAATAGATGAAGAAGCAACACCTAGAGACCCTGGAGAGAGGTTGTGATCTACTGTGTTTGTGTATGAATAGAACTCTGGGCATAGAAGTCAGTATGTTTTGTTTCGACCAATCATGTTCCGCGGACGTCGCAGGGAAGTATTTGACAGTTTGAAAGTTTGAAACATATTTCACATTGGACGTTTGGTTCGTTATTCTTGGTGACTAACGAACTGCACAACCAATCCGCCAGTGACCCATCCGCCCTTGGGCTCGAATTCGTCACGACTTCGAACCAACGGTGACCGTTTTTCGAGGCGGCGACCACCGAAGATGCGCAGTACTACGACCGAGCGACGGAGTACATCTCCATGATGCAACAAGCCATGCAGGTCCGCACGCGTGCGCTGAAGCGCCATGTGCGCCTGGAAGAACCGCCTGGGCGAATGATGGGCACGGTTCACAACACCATCGGCACCGGTTCAGAACGGTGGTGGAATGAAGAGAAACCCATTTGTTTGAAGAGGCTGAACCAAAAGTGAACAAGAGATTTGAAGTGTTTGAATTTTGAATGTATAATACTGCGTCATATTGTGTCAGCGCGTGCCGCGTGCCAATGAGTGAACTCATATGTTTATTTGTGGATATTTGTGGTATTTAGGTAGTTAGGGAGGTGTTCTGTTTGAGACTGCACGAAGTACCACCGGACTATAAGCAATTGGGAGTGGTAGAAGTGGCTGCTTCTGTGCGATGCAAATCAAGAAGCCAGCCCAGCAAGTCTTCTCTTTAATTCTCTTCATGGGTAGCCAAGTCGTTACAACACACAGCGATTTCTCATGATATCCGGCAAATCTTGTCTCTGTAAGAGTTGATGTCCCATATTTCCTCCAGATGTCTCGTCATGTGTGTCACAACCGAGTCACAACCCCCGCCAAGCCGGCCCGGTCCGCCAAACAAGGGCCGTACAGTAGTGAATTCCAGATGTCAAAATCAATACCTCACAGTTCCCCCGCAATGGTGCGTTTTCCAGGGTCAAGTTCGGATCCAACCGACCGGCGGCTGCATGAAGACTTCATGGGCGGAGACTCCCCACCAAAATATGCTGAACTTCCTGTTTAACCGACCGGAGCAGCACAAACGTGTAAAACCAAGCAACATGTGAAATCACAGTGAAACACAAAGCAATGTGTTCTTCAGACCGTTTGCACCGTGGTTCTGTCCGACCCGTCCGACGCAGGCTGCTATGGGAGATGCTGCGCTGACGGTGTGGGCACCCAGTGCTGGGTGATGCCAGCTGAGCGAGCCGGCTCGCGTTCGTGAGCACATGGATGAAAGACATTGACAAACATTTTCACTCATCTGAAGGTGAGGATTGTTGTTGTTGGGAGATGATGAAGATTAGTCATGACTGAGTTTTTTTTGGGGTTTTGACCCGCAGAAGTAGGCCTCAGCAGATCCCTTGGCCCCCGTAGGTGGTAGTTGTCCTGTCAACCACAAGAGAATCGATCCAGGTGGTAAGGACATGAAAGGACTAAGCAGATGAACATTCCTTGGGTTGGAAATCCCTTATAGATTGAGATCGCTGTGTTTTCTCAGCTTCCCAGATGTTGCTGCAGATGGTCAAAGGCCCTTTTGCACATTCCAGCTTCCCTGGTAGAGCGGGGTCCGTGCGTCCGTGCACACATGCTGTGCACACTGAGTTTTGGAGGACATGAAATCTGTATGGAACTCCCATCCGAACGAAGGAACTCCCCACTGTATGCTCCCATGTTTGGAGCGCACAGGAAGTGCACAGCAAGAAGTTCAAGACTGGGGTGGCCCACCTAAAAGTCGATCCCCTCCATTTTGACCTGGAGCAGGCCATTCATTGGACTTCCCCCTTTTTGACTCCCCAACCCGCTTGGTCGCAGCACCTCTTTCCAAGCGGATTCCGGTTTGCTTTGGGTTGGATCGAACTTGGGTATATCTCATCACCAGGGCCTAGTGGATGATTGAGTAAAGACCCTTCCCCCCAAAACACCGATCATCTTTGACCGGGTAATTGGACACACACTGGATCCTCCAGACTCCCAGATCCGACGGTCATTTATTTGTTTTTCAGTGTCCCCGACTGTGGCTGCGGCTACAATTCTGTACACTGTAGACACTGAAGCCGGTTTCAGACCTAGATCGCCGTTGCTTGTCACGTTTGCATGCAATCCGTTTGCATCCGTTTTGGAAGACCACGTTGTTTGCAATCGGGTAATCCGAAGTCGCAAGAGTCTTTGAGTAACTGCTCGCCTGTTCTCAAGACTTTCTCAACCGCTATCAGCTATAAACACATCTCCTCCCGGTTACTCGAAGACCATAGAATAAACCTCCTTTCCCCACCCATCCGTGTCTGTTTTGGCGGACTCTTCGCGACACCACCCTCCTCCTCCTCCTCCTTCGGACCTCGCGTCTGATACCGCCTGAGGATCCCACTTTTTTCTATTTGGAATCCCGAAAGCAAAAGCTCCGCCGGAAGAAGGACCGGCGCTTGGCGCGCCTCGGAGATGGTTTTTGGGCCGGGGACCGGGAGGGAGCCCCTCGGTTTCCCGACGCCGGCGGGAAGCGGTTGGGAATCGGGGGTTTGGGGGGTCAAGGGGGGTCAGGGGGTCCAGACCCCAAGACCCCAAACATGAAACACCACGAATAGCATCCTTTCATTCCATATGTTTCCACCTGGAGAAGGGCCCTTTCCATTCTGAGGGGTTTCGAGGAATGGGGAAAAGTTCGTGGCCGTAAGGGCCTTGTGTTCCAAGGGTAGTCTTGTACAGGAGACGGTCGGTGAGCTTTTGGTCGCGTGTGTATATATATATAAATTGTCGATGTGTTTCTGAAGTTGGGAGAACAGGAGGCAGGAGGCCACCTGACTTGAAGGACTTCTTGCTTTCCTTCTTTCATTTGTGTTCTTTCTTGGTTTTGGGGAGTTTTCCCTGTGATTGAGTTCAAACCCCTATGATTTTTGCTTTGAAACTTCCTTTTCTAGTCTTGCTTTTCTTGCTGATGATCTTGATATCGGTTTGGTGGCCCGCTGAGGAAGGGCGCTCCTTCGCAAGAGCTACAAACGCTGATGAAGCAGCGGTGACCCGCGGAAACCGCGTCCACTCGAACCGCGGTTTCAGTGCAAAAAGCCATCGTCTTCTGAACCGCGAACTTGCAGCGCCCGGTGTTTTGCCAGTAGGTTGAAGGTCGAGGACCGCGCCAAGGGTTGATGTTTATGTTGTTTCAGATTCATAGTTTAGTTTTCTATGGGATTTGTGGGACATGACACACTGGCTACATGGGGGCTACATGGAGCTACCAGGCCAATCGTGGCCTTGGTCTTTGACGTTAGTTCCTTCATTTCTGGCGTTGCGCCAGTCCTACAAACAGTTTATAGAAGTGGGAACATCCTCAACTTTCTCCCTGTTCTCCTCGATGAGTTCGAGACACATACGTTATGTCAGCTCTTAAGCCCCAAAAAGGAGCCACCAAGCTCACCGCTGCTGCGAGTTTGGCTCAAAGCACAAGGCTTTTAGTTCGTACGGGCCTCCAAGATGTTGGCCAGGTGGGGCCCTGAACCACCAGAGCAGGAGTTTCACCTGTTTCAATTGAGTGGGATGGGTCTCAACAGTGGATTGTCCTACCCCAAGATGGGTGTCGAAATGGGTTTTGATGCACCATGTCCCACCCACCTGGTTGTTCAGAAGTCCGAACCCCATTTGCACACAAAATCAAGCTTCCTGCATGCATGAGACAATTTGATCAAGCCAGGTTTGATGATGGAGCTAGGCCACCTTGGCAACTAGTGCCATTGGGCCACCTGACACAGATGGGAGTGATTGCAGCCTGGGCCGCGGACAAAGGCCGTGAAGGTGCTCACCAGCTGCAAAGTCGGTCTATAAATGCTAATATAAAGTGGGCGCGCTCTTTGCATAGTTGGAGGACTAGTGGATGAAAGCGATCCAGCGATCCCAAACCACGAGCCTCAAACACATCATTCATATCATGTGCCACTAATTCTAGGGGCTCTCAAACCTAAACAAAGATCCTTTTCTGGCTTCACCAACTTTTGTTCCTTCGCTTGTGCCGGGGATGATGTTCCCAACAGGTGGCACCACCGAGCTTTGCTGCATGCTAGATTGTTTGAGGCAACCTGCGGCCCCACATCGATTTCACCCAGTGTTTGTGGGTTCCAATGTTGCTTTGACAAACGCAAATGGTTGGATGGCAGGTTATGAGTAAAATGTGGCCATTGGACACCGGCAACCTGCACCAATAGAGATCCGCCCAAGGATTCACGGTTCCCGATCCTTAGGGTATGTATACCAAGACCCTCCGAAAAAGGGGTGTCCATAAATAGCAGGGCCGGCGTGTGGTCTCCATTGTTCTGTCAGGCTTGCAAGGAGTTCTGGCAGTGGCGGGGCCAGCGTTCTTGCGCCTCCTGGAACGCGGCAATTGCAGCTGCAGAGGCGCAAAAGGGATGGAGCCTGTCGAAACCACAGCCTTGTGCTGTAGATGGATACTGCTGGTCGCGTACCAATTTTGTGAAAATCTGACAGGAAGAAGCCCTTTGTTGATCCCCAGAAAAGCGGTCGCCCTCTATACCTTTTACCTCTGGTCTTGACCTTGCCTACTAGGCACTCCATGTATAGAATATTGCCTACGTTGGGGAGGTTTCATGGGTCAATGTAGGCATTACATGGACATACATGGAGCGTCTGGCTTTGTGGGTAAGTGTTTTCGTCGAAGGTCAAGATCCAAAGGTAAAGGCCTTGTTTCTCTTTTTGGGGTTCACAACCGATCAGATTGGTGGCAGGAACTGATGTACAGATCGACTGAACGAGCGAACTTGAGTGAAGGAGTGAACAAGGGCCAACAGATACGGTTCCTACTTGAGATTCAAGATTTGTTGCAATTACTATATCGTTTGCTTTGGAAGCACGTAAAAAAAGTACTGTAATTAGTACCCCAAAAGCACTCAGGTAAGATAGATAGGTAGGTCATCCAACTTGTGAGAGCTTCACGTGCAACAAAAAGGGTCCCACAAGTGGCCCACGAGGGCCATTTGTTCAGGCTCCAGAGTTGAGGTCTGGCCGAGGAAAGGACAACGTTTAAAGCTGCGATTGCGGTGCTTGCAGTTGCCAGCTGTGATGGACTTTAAATGTCTGAGCATGAATGACCCTAAGGCCCTAAGGAAAGGTAGCTGCGGAAATATGGTCATCGCTTTTGATAAGCTTTGTTGAAACCTTTCAAGCGGTGCAAAGCGTGTAAAAAAAGAGGCCAACGCAGTTCCGGCCGGTGTGGGTCGAGTGAGGTGCTTCGAAGGGTTTTAGACGAGCACACAAACAGGATGATTGCCATCGGAGGGGTGGAGCTCGTATGCTTTTAGTCCACATGAGATCACATGGCTATGGCTCGAACCCCCAAACTCCCCAGTTCTTTTTTGGGCATCTCTCCTTGTACCATTCGCAATGCAAGTTGTTCAATTCGTTCGCCGCGGAGGTGCTGCCTTAAATGATTTTGCCGCCACATTTGAAGAGAAATTCTTGATGTTCCGGCCTGTTTGATCAATCGCATCAGGTGAATTTTCAGGTATGGCATCTTTCTCCTGCTCAGCCCACTGCAGAAACATTTCCTCGATAAAAGTGTCCACAATATGTTAGAATTTCTCTTCAAATCATCGCGAATGCGGGCGGTCCGAAGCCTGCGCCCAATGGCGCCGAAACACCGCCACGAAGTTGCGGAGAAAAAACGTGCATTGACGGCTCACCTTGTAGACTTGGAATCTCTTCTCCATGCTCAGCACGCACAGAAGAAGCGAGGCATGCGCCACTTTTCGTGGATCAAAGCGTGGGGCTGAAGACTAACAACCACAGCAGAAACACTTGACACGACATCGTTGGTTTTGGGTCATCAGCGGGGTTGAAGCACCTCCCCAACTAGGCTCGCAGAGCCTGTCTAGCCACTACGCATCACCATTTGCACCCTCAAGCTCCAAGCTCGACACTTGAGCTGTAAACCACCTGCCATTTGTATCAGCACCAAGATTTACAGTCCCATAGTTTATGGGCTGCCATGAAGATGCAGCAACCATTTTGCAGTCAGATTGGTTCAACTACACTCACCAACCAAAATGTGTCCAACCTACATCCGACACCTCTAGCCATTTGGGTCCCTAGCCTTATTTGTCTGCCGGAGGAGGCCCGACTGCATTTGATTTTTAGCGCCATGCCCGAACGGCGGCCGGGCGGAGTGCAAGCGCGGCAGGCACGGTTGCACAGGGAGGACGCAACAAGATGCAGCAGGGGAGGCGCCCACCAGTGAACGAAAACTCTTGCACCACCTGAGAGAATTATGTCCCGCTTTTGACATTGATTGTGTATACTATGTGCTGGATTTCTTGAGTCAACAATGAACAGTGGCCAATCTTCCGCCTTAAGAGGCAGGCTTAGATGTCCGAAAACAACTGTCAATTTCTTGAGTCCTTGTTGTGATTCAGTGGATTTGTGTGGCTTACCATTCCTCAATGAACTTTCAAGACCATTTTGTTCTATTTGGAGGGTGGAGACTTGCATACTGGCTTTTGGGTTCCGGTTCAAAGAACATGTTTCGTTCTCTTTCAATATCTGCACGGCTCGTCTTTCGCCATCGAAACAACCATCCGCCCAGCGCCGAGAAGAATTATTTCCCACCTCTGATGGCTTCCTCTCAAGCCAGTGGCGGGTGGAAGTCAGGGGCCAGAAAAGAACATTTTCTCAAGGGCTTCTGCCAATGGTTGAGTTTTCAATTCTGCATTTTGCAGATAGTAGGTTCGATCCCCGACGAGAAGGACACGGATCGGTTCGATCTCCGACACAAACCGTTCAGACATGTTCAGTTGTTGTTTTTTGTTTTTTTCCGGCCGGTCTCTGGCCTCGGAAGCCAGGCCGCCCTGCGTCAGTATGACAGGGCACTCTGCTTCTCGCCGAGACCGATGCGACGCTCTGCACGCCCGTGGCGATCCGGGCTGTGTGTCTGTGAGTGAGACCTCAGGGAAGGTTCCAAGATCCACAGAGCCCAGAAATCAGGTTGATGTGGAGTTTGGGCAGATGATGGGAGCAAACCCAGACTAGCCAGATTATGAAACAGTAGGTTGGCCATTGACAGAGGTTGAGGGACAATGGTTGCTTTCAACCCGGCCTGACATGTCCAGCATTGTCCAGCTATATGCTATGTTGAACTTCAAGATTCTGCATTTCAATCCACCTTTCTTAGTTGGACACGACCGTAAACGGGTCTTTTTGGACAGACCAGTGAGAGAGACGTTTCAGTGATTTCAATGAGGCCGTGCTGCCACAGAGTACAAGAGCCGAGACGCTTTGAAAGAGAAGGTGCCGACCAGCCGGCCCACCCACTGAGACGCCGGAAAGGGACTCGTGTTTTGCGTGATGCAGGGCGGGGGGGGGTCATCAGATGCAAACCAAGACAGGTGGCCAGATATTCTGGGGGTGGAACATGGACAAGTGTGATCTTCATCGGCTGACCAGCCTGAAAAACATTTTGGGGACCCTATTATAGTCTTGTTTTCTCTTTACCCACTTTGACTCACACCTCTCTATTGCTTGAGAGTGGAATTGGCTTCTCTTTGTTGGTCACAGTTTTAGAACACGGGCAAAAAAGTGGTTTGCCTGGATTCCCGGTGAAGCTATTCACCGGCAATAAGCTGACCTGGCAGGGTATGTATGGCATCAATGTGGGAAGACACGTCGTGACACCCAGGAGTGAACCAGTTATATGGCCACGGCAGCTTTTGGATATATGTTGCCTTCCATTCCGAGAATATGCAGTTTATGCCCTATGCTACATGTTGGCTCCAGCTAACCACAGCCACATGTTGTCTCATCTTCCTACCACAGCCATATGTTGGTTTTATGTCCAACAAATGTTGGGTGACGCACCCAAGCAATTTTCGGTTTTCCACCAAACGACATGTGAGGCTATCGACCATTAAAAGGTTGTCTCGCAGCTACCAACTTTGTAGTGTGGATATGAATGTAGGTGATGCATTTCTATTCATTTGGAGTTCTTTGCGTTCTTTTTATGGATTGCTGGTGACCGTTGGACAAAACCGATGCATAAGGGCATCTAGAATCTGTACCGCGCCAGCACTGGAAAGAACCAAGCACGGCAGACCGTGCGAAAACCGCACACAGCGAAGAGAAGACCGGAAGACGGCGCCGCAGAGCCGCGACGTGAGTGGCTCAAGGTCAGGCCATGTCAGGTGTGACTCTGGTTGCACCTGTTTCAAGGCGGGACCAATCCCGAGAGAGTGACGATTGGAATGGGGTTTCGATGAGGGTTGATTGGTTGTCTGAACATTTTGGAAGGCCTGTTTACAATTGACATTATCCGCACTGTAGGTGCAATCCATGCTTTCGCTCCTTTTTGAAGCACCGACGGTTCTTGAGAGCAGAGTCAGAGTCCATGCAAGTTTGACTATTCAGAAAGAAAACGCCCTTGCCATGCCAAGAAGATCTCTAAATTCTTTGGTGTTCCAGCATCTCAAGTGGTTGACACATCTTGAACAAATGCGGGATGCTCCCTCCATCAGATTTGTGCTTTAGCATTCAATCTATATAACTCGGGGCCAGCGAGCTGAAGGGCCTGCCCTGACAGACAGGTGACGCATGAAGCGCGTATGGCTTGTGTTTGTGCCTCGCCTGACTCGTGTGCCCTCTGCCGTTTGCAGAAGGTGTGGGGTGGGGGGATCAACACATCTTCCAACAGCAATGGTCACATGCCATTTGCGCGAACGAGTCGAGGGCCTCAATCAAATCTCCTGGTATCGACAGCTCCTTGCATCAGCTCCTTCATGCTTCCGGTGGGGGTTCACTGGCACTAGTACATCGTCGACAAGAAGAGCGCTCTCATGTATCATTTTACCAGACATGATTGAGATTGACTTGCCCGAACTATCCACATTTTCATTCGTGCACAGTCAGAAAACTGTAGTCCGTGTTCCAGCTGACTGGGGTGCACCTGAATCCTCTTTTGAAGGCAGGGGACCTCCCTGTTGTGGAGAGTGTCCGTCATTCGGACCCCAAAAAGCCAAACATGCAGGTGTTAGGTGAGCTCCATAATTGATCAGCTGTGGCAGTCCGTTCTTCACCCGGTGCTTCGATCGCCGCCCAGGTGCTCGAGGCTGCGGTGGCAGTGGCCACTCGGCCTGGGGCGGACACCTGGAACGAGCCAGGCGCGCGGGGTCCACTCCGAGGAGCCGGAGCTCCAGCGTCCTAGGTCGCACCACATGGCGCACGTCTGGGGATGTCTTGCCACGTTTGTTTCCTCAAATGCATTGGTCGGACCTCCGCCAGCTCTCAAGGTGCCTTGGATGCGGATGCTAGCCCTGCGGATGAGGCGTGATGGCAGGAAGGTGGATGGAACATGATGGAACATTTGGGATGTAGAAGTGAGGCTTCTGCTGGTTTGAAAGCACAGGATCCATTGATCCTTTAATTTCTTAGGAAATCCGGCACATCGTGCAGGCTTGTGTCCATCAACAGCACTTTCATTGGTACAACCGGAAACTGTATGTATCACATGAGCGTTTGGTCGCTATATAGCGAAAGATCTGTCCTGTGCTTCGTCAACCTTTGATGTGGATTGCTCGGTCACAAGGAGGTGCGTCGGCATCATCGGCATCATCGGCATCATCGCTCCAAGACCGTGGAGCCCGAGCCGGAGGAGCAGGACGAGCCAGAGCAGAAGGTGCTGTGGTGTTTTTCGTGGTGGACTTGTTGTGGTGTGCATTGTTTCTCCATGTTTCTCCCATCCGCTCAGCTAAGGGACCATGGTTCACAGTTCAAAAGAAAGGCACCCCGTTTAGTGTAACATCGCTCGTAACATCACTATCTCCAACGCTTCCACCGCACTTGGGAGTTGAAGATATGTTCGATTGGTATGCAACATTGCTTCTTGCTCGTAATCTGACAACGGAGTTTCGAATTCCGTGTTCCGTCACTTTACTTTAGCCGAGATGTATTGGAACCAGAGGGGATTGGGATGATGTTTGCTTAGAGATGTTGGGAACCGAGACGTTTGCTTAGAGAGGGAATGAGGGGATGACTTTCCCAACAGGTGGCACCACTGAGTTGAGGAACCGCTGTAGTGTGCACCAGGGCGACCAATGCTTTCGTTGCACCCCCATGACCTCAAGTCCATCATGGGCCCTCAAACACGACACCGGTTATGGAATACCCACAAATATGTGGACATTTTGAAGGGATTTCAGCTCTACACCTCAGTCCATGGCATGATTCCGCCGTCGAAGCTTTCGCCCGCAGGTGTCCTTTTCGCAGAGTGAGGCCCAGCCGAGGTGGGCGCGTGCGAGGCTGCACGACCTCTGCTCGACTTCTGCGGTGCAGTGCGGTCCTACTACTTTGTCCAGCGATGTTCAACTTCTTGATTTTCTGAGAGTGGCCAGGCTGGAGGTGGTTTGACCTTTGGGACTAGGATGGAATAGGCAACTTTTGGAAGCGACAGTCGACAAACAAGTGGCCCTCAAATGTCAAGGGAAAGAGTTTCAGGTTCACTCTCAGTACCCATCGGAAGCACTTCTGAGTCCAATATGACATGGTCTTCCGCTGGTAGCATTCTGAGCAGGTTATCACTTTTTTCCATCAACTTGGGGGAGTGCATCACTTTCATAGTTCATCATAGTTCAGACAATTAAACCAAAGCGCCGGGAGTCATGCCAGGCAGAAACATGTGGAGAAGAAGAGCTACAGAGCTGGGTGAATTCCTTGGATTTTGCAGAACAAAAACCCGAGCAACTTAGGATAGAAACTCCCCGCCTTATCCGACAGGTGTCCTGAACTAGTTAGTTCATTGCCTTTGAACACCTATGACAGGTCACCAAGCCTTCATCGATGTCAGGTCCGATGAGACTTCTTCCGCCTCGGGTGGCTTCATGGTAGCTCCTCAGCGCCCACGAAACGACGATGAAGGGGAGCGGTGGGGAGCCATTGACTCGGCGGTTGAACTCGGACGGTGGTGACTTCGAAGATCTCCTTCAGTGAACAGGGTGGACCGACCCGCGTCAGACGGGACCTATGCGGTGAGATAATGGAATTCATAATCATAGAGAGAGAGAGAGAGATGGAGAGAGCGTGTGAGATGACCAACAATGAACCAAAGGACACAGAGGCCACCAAAAAGAATCCAATCCGACCTGGATGAAACGATGAAACAGCACCATCATCCCTGCCCTGGTCGCATCAACTAGGCCAGCTGCGACGACCTTTTTGTTTCTCCGTTTGCACACAAGGATCAAGCAACTCTGCAGAAGTTCGGCCTGAACCAGAGTTCCTTTGAGGCAACCTGGCCGGCACAGCAGATTGATTGGGTATCATAATTATAGATACCTTTATAGATACCTTTTTGACAGCTTTCCCCAGTCACACCTCTGTGGGTGCTTTGCAGAATTCAGGCCCGTTTGCTGTTTTTCAACAGTTCAACATGGCCGAAGGCTTTCATGACAACTACCTTCCTTTTCATGACAACTCTGGGCGAACTGATGCCATTCCGTCCCGAGGAGATCGTCCGGCAGCAGCATGATCGCGGCTTGGCGCAGTCATGCAGCGAAGACAAGCGCGGCCTGAAGACAAACCCAAACGTAGGTGTCGTTGAACCCAGTGGGGTGTGTGTATCTTCAGGAGGTCGTCAGATCTACTTGCTAACCACTTGTTCAAGTGCATGTCATTACCTGCGCAGGCGTGGTCCAGGATTCGGTGGTCCTAGGGGGACTCCTATCGATGCGTCCGCTGTGGTCGGACCGCCTCTGTTTTGTGTTGGGGGTTCAAGAGCATTGAGCAGGTGCACCACCCATGGGCAGAAGCAAATCTTCGCATTGCACCCGCTACACGGAAAATATGACTTGCTTCACGATAGTTCCTTCTGCACGTATCCTTCCATCTCCCAAAAACGGGATGATTCTGGAAGAGGCTTTTAAGGAATTCCTACCCCACACAGCCTGCGGATGCTCAATTGGATGCGCCACGATGACACGCCAACCCCATTCCCACCTGAGGGAGGCTTTCCCGCATGTCCAGTCAGGTGGAGATCCCAACATGCCACCGTTACAGCCTAGCCTTCCGGAACTCCGCCGCCCGGCTCTCTTAAACCGCATGACTGCGGCGCCGGGTTGGGGTGATGGGCTGATGGAGTTGATTTTCAGGGGCAGAAAGGAATGCATTTGGAATTCTGCCTAAGTCTTCAGAGAAGCAATACAGGTGTTTCTCTTTTGCTCCAAAACTTCGAGGTTTGACGGACTTAATTTGAAACACCTCCACATGTGTTCGTTGTTTTCGGCAACTCCAAACACATCAGTGGAACGATAAGATCCAGCCTCCAACCATGCGGTTCCTGTTGAAACGAAGGATCGCCCCCAAACGAAGGATCGCCCCCAAGTTAAGACATTAGAACCCATTGTTTCCTATGTTCACCAGAAGATCTCCCAAGTCTTGATCCGCATCCAAATCCACTTCAACTTCCTTCTCGTTCAATTCGATCTCTGTTTTCACCAGCGCGTCTCTGCTAAGCCCCCAGGAATAACATAGAATCACAATATTGTCATATAGTGTCTATCAATCCAGAAAAAAACAAGATGGAGCCCACGAACCCGAATGCAAACACGTTCAAAAAGCTACATATGTCCAAATGACACTCTTGTAGGGCACTCTTGTGGGACACTCTTGTGAGACAGGGACACTCTTGTAGGACACTCTTGTGGGACACTCTTGTAGGACACTCTTGTGGGACAGTCTTGCACTCTTGTGGGACACTCTTGTGGGACACTCTTGTAGGAAACTCTTGTGGGATACTCTTGTAGGACACACTTGTGGGACATGGTTGTGGGACACTCTTGTGGGACACTCCTGTAGGGCACGCTCTTCGTACGAGACTTCCTCCAAAAGTCTCGCTGCGAGGCTGCAAGACGAGCGTTTCGTACGAGACTTCCTCCAAAACAAAACGAGCGTGTCGTACGAGACTTCCTCCAAAAGTCACACGTCAAGTCTCCAAAACGAGCGTTTCGTACGAGACTTCCTCCAAAAGTCACATGTCAAGTCCCCAAAACGAGCGTTTCGTACGAGACTTCCTCAAAAACTCACATGTCAAAGTCTGCAAAACGAACGCTTCGCACGAGACTTCCTCCAAAAGTCAACCGGAAACACCCATCGGAGCACGCACATCACGCAGCCCTGCCAAGCAGTTTCGCGATTCCAGCCCCTCCAAACGACACCCGCTCACACCAATGTGACAGCGACATTCACCTCTACCACAACTCACAACCTCCCGATTCCCTGCGCCTGCCACGAATCTTTCCGCGTCCACACGTCTAAGGCACACAAAGTACTGCGCCTGCCACGAAATGTCACCTCCGTCACACCTCGCAACCTCACGATTCCCTGCGCCTGCCACGAGAATCGCACTTCCACACCTCAAAAGCCGCACAAAGTACTGCGCCTGCCACGAAAAGTGACAATATCATCTCACGTGAGCTTCAACAAAATTTGCACCACACCACACGTTTGGAATGATTTCGACCCGTTCTGAGCACACTCCCAGAGTCCAAAATCGGCATTTCAGCTGAGACTTGTCACGAAAACAGAGCTTCGATGCCACACCCTGAAACGCAAATCCCAATGGCACGGCCACATCCAACACCCCAAAAACACGACTCTCCAAACGCTAATCCCAATGGAACTGCGCAGCAATCTGCAGATCTCACCAAACGCTGCGCCTGTGCAGCGAAACGCATCACGTTTCTTGCGCGACATCTCATTTTCATGCAAATCACAATGGAATAGCGGCGCAAACTGACACGTGACACATCCATGAAAAGTCACTTGCAAAAGCTTCCCCCAATGGCAGCGCCTTAGCGCTCTACTGCGGACGGTTGCGAACGGTTGCGGACGGTTGCGGACGGTTGCGAACATAGAAGCAACGGGTCGCGAACAAAGCTCTACCCCCAGACCCCCAAGAGTTAAACGAGAACCCTTCGCTACGCATTCGGGAAACATATTATAGCAGTCATCACCAAGGGTGTCTATTACGGTAAACATGATTTCTGAATCGCCCTCCCCTTTCCAGGTGTGTGATGTCGTGCCCAGTATCCCAGGTGCTGTCACCTCCTCCGACAAGGCGAGGCAGTTTTTGGAGTTTGCAGCTGGGGAATTTGGTCGGCTTGACACATTTGAGATACCCGGTTTAACGTCCGGATGAGGAAAAGGATCGAAAGAGAATGGATCCAAGTCGGTTTGCAGCTTGGGCCATGTGCCACCTCGCTTCCAACAACCCAAATCCTCAGTTCCTCAGTCTGACCACCGACCACAGCGGGCCAAAGTTCAGCCAAAAGGTGGTGCACTGTCTGACGATGGCGGAATTGGGAGGAAGAGAAGCATCATCACTTATTCTGACAAATAAGCTAGTAGTAACAGGTGCCACGCTAGTAGTAACAAGAAGCTATTAGAAACAAGTGCATCGCTACTAGTAACAGGTACCTTACTAGTAGTAACTAGTAAGCTTCTACTGCCACCTGAAAAGCTTCAAAGGGCGAAGCTCACAGCTAACATGTCATCGTGTCATCTATTTTCCTGGCATGAGAAAGCTTCAAGAATGAACCCTCTTCCCTCCTGTTGTTCTGGCCCGAAAGCATCTCTGGTCCGTCAGGGCTTCAACATCCTCTTGAAAGCCTACAACTTCGTGAGGCACCTCGACTCGGGCGCCAATCGTTCCCTTCGACTTCGGGCTGCCCAACAGGTTGACGAACGGACTCACAGAGTCGACGGCGTCAAGAAAAAGACGAAGAACATCTGTGTTAAGGGTCTGTCGCCATGTTACCACACAACGAAACGACGCCCATGACCGAGAAACAATCCAAGTTGTCTCTGCTCCTTTGTTCTTCTCCGTCCACGCTTTTCCGTTTCTTTTTCTTGTGACATACTACAGGGCTTTGAGTCTGGCGAACCCCGAGGAGTCGGGCCAAACCGTCTTCACTGATGCAGTTCTCATGTTTCATGGATAGAACTGGTCTATGTCCTTCTTCCCAAGAGGGGGTCGAACTGGGAGGTCTCCCTATCTTGATGCACACCCACATCTACATCGGATCCGCTGCCACACCCGCAGCTCGCCGACGCCACGCTCTTGAGGCCCCTGCGTGCGAAGGGGCAAAACGTGGTGGCGTCGCTGCTGATGGTGAACGATGCGGACGGGGGTTTGGATGGGAGCGAAGCGGGAGCTTTCGGAAAGCTTTCTGGGCCAGTGGAGATGGTGAGAAACTAGGGGTTGAAAAGTGAGAAATCTCTCAAAGTGAGACGTGTAGACCATGTCACCGGTGGTTTGCTTGAAGATGAGAGCAACTCACTGACAAAGACCCGGAGGTCGAAGTGGCCAGGGATCCTCAAATGGAGACGCAGTCTCATGTCCGGTGAGGGTAGGCAATGGATGAAACACAAGGGGGATGAAGGGGGCGCGAGGGGGCAATGGATGAAACACAAGGGGGGATGAAGGGGGCGCGAGGGGGCAA